TTTCTTTAGAGGCTTTAACCTGATGATCTACTTCTAACCAGGGAGATTTTATAAATCCTGCCTTTCAGAAACACAAGGGCACACAATAATGGGAGCCAAGATAGAGAATACTGAGCTGGAGAGAGAAGTGGGAGAAGAAAGCTGGACTGAGATGTGGCAAAGGAGTAGGTTTTCACACTGTAAAGAAAGGCACTTCCATGCCACATGGTTGTCTGGGCTGTCTGGACCAAGCTAGCCATTAGAGAACAAGTATCAGAAAGCAAGAAATGCTCGTGCGTCCTTGGAAAACCTAACGTCTGTTTCAAATTAAGTTATCTTTTCCCTGGTTAACCGCCCATTTGCGGAGCGACCGCACACTGAGAAAATCCACTCAGGACATATGAAGTCTGGCGTCTACTACGCTGCCACTCACTGTCAGGCACTTCATGAGTCTGGTTAAGTAAGAGAGATTGTGCCCGTTTTCTAAATGGGCCAGTCAGAGCAGATACAACAACTCGGATAAAGCCACACAGCTAAGTAGTGGCGACTGGCATCTAATTCCAAAAGCAACACCTGCTGAAACAATTCCAGGTGACACTGACACATGTCACTAAGTACCAAATCAAAGTGGACGTGAAAACAATACTTGGGATTAAAATGATAAGTCATTCGAAGATTTCCAGATTCAGCCAGAAATAAACGTGTAGTCTAAAGCTAGCATTCAAAAAAGAAACAGAAAGGTTTCCAACCTGGAGAAACCTAACATCTTCTAGACCCTTTCTTTGACATCTCACTATCAGTGAGTAGTTCTTTGAGATTCTTGTTGCACTTATAAAGATGGCCAGAAAAAAACCATGCATAGCTCATTTATTCCACTCTCACAAGTATTCTCTGTGATTCTGGCAATTAGATAATTTGCAACATTTCCTTAAAACGTCAAGGACTAACCTCCATCATAAAACAACTAATGTCTCGTCCAACCCAGAAAGCTGAGTTTAAAAATAGCAAGTGCAGCCTCCCCGGTTCAGGACTTTGGGCCCACGGCTCTCCCTGCAGCCCCCAAGGGACAGAAGCCTAAGTCCCCTCTCCCCCAGCAGCACCGAGGGACAGTGGACAAGGATGCTACGCTTACTCAATCCCACACAGACCCCATGCTCTACTATTTACAGTGTATTTCATATTTATCTAATACAAAATATGAAATTTGTATTTAATATTCTTCCTTGCTAGGAGATGATCTTCTCTTTCACAGACACCCTCTTGCTCCCAAGCCCCCACCTTTTTGTTTGTTTGCAACAATGAGATCTCTGACTAAACAACATAGAGATAACCCACGAAGACATAAATCATAGATATAGAACTAGAAATAACCATTTCTTTTACACATAAACTACTCACTTCTTCCGGATAGAAGTACTGAAGATGACTGAGGGGAAAGACTGATTCAAATCCATCTCTGAATGAATCAAATTGCCTGGAAACACCTTCATTTAGTGCCCAGAATATAACCAGCTGCAAAAAGAAAAGTCTTTTAAAACCTGTGACAATATTTCAAATTCCTTTCCCATTTAGTATCTGGCAAAGTACGGTGAATACATCCTTCCTCAGCACTTAAAAAAAAGTCTTTTAAAATATCTCCCAGAAAACTGCATAAGAGATCATTCAGGTCAACTTCTAATCCAGGGGCTTGCCAATAAGAAAATGTAAAAAACACCAGACACATTTATATTTAGTGTGTTTCAAAAATTCATTTACATAAAATCTCTACGGTATAGAGTTACACATTACCTTACCAGATGAGAAGCAGGTAAGACTTTCCCAAGAGAATAAAATGTTACTGAGAATTAAAGATAATGGTTCAAGAGGCACAATTACCAACCGGTACCTGCTTTTAATTTTTAATGTGCAATTTTCAGTTCTAAGTACTATTAAATTCTTAAAACCCAACAATTCAGCAGTATGCGCCTTCAGTTAGATAAAGAAACTGTGGAAGGCAATAACATGAAACTGAGGTGTATGAGAAAGCATTTGTTATTGGTCCAACATCTCCTAGTCATCAATGACTGACCAACCCTTTGGGGTCAGGAACAGAGGACCTACTGAGATAAAAATGACAACAACAGTGTTTTGTTGACAGTGAAACAAGCATTATTACAAATCAGTTCCAGAGAACCTTAATCTGGAGTTAACTCATCATTTACCAGTTAGCTGAAAGGTGAGCTTTCTCAAAGCAGGCAGTACAAGAACACAGTCCTGCTGACCTTTAAACGAATCGCAGAGCTATTAGGCAGACTGTCAGGCAGACTAAATAGTACGTGAGATCCTCTGCTACCCCTTCCCTCTCTCAAACTGAGGAGACCAGAGCTGAACATTTTCAGAAGTTCTACCTAAAATTCTACAGTAAGTTAGAGGAAAAGCAGGTCAGGTACACATGGAGTTTGGCTTGAACCCAGTGCTCTTTTCATTCAGTGTCAGTAATAAACCAAAAAAACTTTTCCAAAATTAGTGATAATAAAGACTTATATATAGATTCTAATTCAAAATATAATTTGTATTCAACACAAAATTGTTTTTCCTAAATTTAACAAGCAGTCAAGAACCACGAAAGGCCTCATGAAACCCGTAAGTGTGTGCACATGCGCACATACCTTGAGCGTTTAAGGCAACTGGGTCAAGTTAGGTGGCCTGACAGAAAGGTAGAAGTGCAGGTGAGTGGAAACACAAGTGATGGCCCCTTTTCACTGGCTTCTTCTTAAACTAACAAAATGTGATGTTGCCAGACAGTATTCAAACTTGGAAGACAGAGTTCAAAGTCACATAAGGGATTGTGAACTACAGGACATGTTCTCTCAGGAGCAAACAGGAGCTAAGGCCTGGACAAGCGGACGTCATGCGGTGGTCCCGGTGTCAAAGGTCTCACAGCGTCTGTGCGGGCGGCCGCGGGACACACGCCTGGGCTTCACGGGACCGTCCCCTCCCTCTCCCTGCCAGCCGTCCGCCCAGGCCAGCCCCGCCACCCTACGTACTCTGAGGTACTCCTCTAGGTTGTGGATGGTGACGGGTATGTCCTTCCCTCCTTTCTTCAGCTCGATGTTAGGGAACCCTGGCAGAGTGAAGTCCAATCCTAGATCTTCAACTGAGCAGCCGTTCATAGTCAGGGTCTCTAATGCATATTGTAGACTCTCTTTGGTCTAAAAAAAGGAGAGGGGAGGGGCTGTCAAACACAACGATCCCCTCAATTCCATCTGTGTTTACAAAATAAAAGGTATGCTCATCAGTTTTCTGGGTTTCCTTAGTTCATAGCCTGTTTCTGCAGCCTATTTTTTTTTCTTTTTCTGACATAATCTACACAAAAATAAATCAGTGAGATCACATAGGCAATAATCTTAAATGCTTGAGAATCCAACTATTTTAATATGAGAAAATAAGACTGCTTGCATGTTCCTCCATAATGAGATGTTTGCTACTACTCAATCTGACCATATTCAATTAGATTTCACAGACATAAGAGTTTGCACAATGGTCAATTTAAGAGTCTAGTCTCTAGAGCCAGATAAACTTTTTATAAACTCTAGGCTAATCTTAATGAATCCACTACATGTACAGAGCAAATACTGAGTAATGCAACACAGGGAAGAAACTATAAACACAAATGATGCGCTATCTAGTGAAAGTAAGTAATTTTTTCCCCTGCAAGCTCTAGTCTAAGGAATACCTGGAGACTCTGCAATTACTGTAGGCCTAGCATGAACAAACTTGTATTCACACAGCAACAATGCCATGAAAAAGGTTCCAACAAATCCCTAAGAAAAGTCAAGTCCTACTCTAAAGACAAATGTTAAAAACAGTTGTATTATTCACTTTTTAAAATGCTTAAGATTATGAACGGCTTACATAAAACACCATTTCTTTTAGACTAAGAATCGAAGACCAACATACAAAACTGCAAATTCTATCTGAAAATGGGATGTCCAGTACAGGAGGAAGAGGGTAAATGAATTTCTGAACTGAAGATGCCTCTGTGTGTGACGTTCCGAGAGGCTAAGCAGTCAAGGTGCAGAAAATCAGTCATCTGGACAAAAAAAGACTAAGAAGTCTTAGTTACCAGTAAGTTCTTAAAGAGGAAACTGAAAGCTGCTTAGGATTCCAGGTAATGCAAAAAGCAGAAGAGGGGGCAGCATTATTGGAGATGGAGGTGGAAGAGCGCAGGATGCAGAGGGACACACAGCCTGGGTTTGCCCTCCAGCCCCCCACGTTCTAGACACGGGCCCCTGGTGGGCGATTCAAACCACCTGCCTGGGGTCTCTTGTGTGTAAAGCAGGGGTAACAGAAACAGACAAATCTCACAGCAGACTAAGTGAATTTACATGAGGCCCTTGGCACAGTGTCATGCATTGTACCTTAGTTCCATTTGGGGGTGGGGTGCATTATTTATGTAAAAGATCATCTTAAATAAGATTATGTAGTTTAATATTTACAAAGCTGGTAAGCGTAAACATAACTGGCTCTAAAAACCCTAAGACAATAGATCTTATATGAAAAAGATGGACTTGACCTCTGTAAACACCAATTTCTCTTAATAAACATTTTCCCCCAAATCACCAATATGAAAAATTAATTTTCCTACAAATCATCATCTTCTCTGATAAAATGGTATTTTAAAAACCTCATCTACTATAAGCTCCTCTCCACCTTAAGAGAAGTGGCACTTGCTCGAGCTACAGAACTTTACTCTTACCTTACACAATTTATAAAACGAGAGCTGGTTTAACACTGGACCACGTCACCTGCCCCAGTATGAAGACCATACGCCACTGCTTTTTTAACACAACTTTGTTTTCTTCCAATGTCAGATACAGAATCACCAATTCTCTCAGACTGAATCAAATAATTTTAAATTTTGTTAATATATAAAGAATATACACTAATGATATAAATTAC